TCCAACCCCCCTGCAGGGAGCAGGGACATCTGCAGCTAGAGCAGGTTGCTCAGAGCCCCATCCAGCCTGGTCCTGAACACCTCCAGTGGTGGAGCATCCACAGCTTCCCTGGGCAACCTGGGCCAGGGTCTCACCAGCCTCAGAGTGAAGAACTTCCTGATTTCTAATCCAAACCTCCCCTCCTCCAGTTTAAACCACTTAACACTCATCCTGTCACTACAAGCCCTTGCAAAAAGTCCCTCCCCAGCTTTCTTGTAAGCTCCTTTCAGCCCTGGCAGCCCCCAGCAGGTCTCCCCAGCTGGAGCCTTCTCCTCTCAGCTGCCCCAGCCCAACTCTCTCCTGCTGGGCTCCCAGCAGAGGGGTTCCCCCCTCGGGGCATTGCTGGGGCTCCTCTGGCCCCGCTCCAGCAGCTCCCTGGCTCTGCTGTGCTGAGGACTCCAGAGCTGCCCCAGCACTGCAGGGGGGTCTGGCCAGAGGGGGGGGGACAGCCCAGGACAGGGTTGGGGTTTTCTGGCCTGCACTCACTCACTGTTGGCTCATGTTGAACTCTTCACCAACCAGCCCCCCCACGTCTTTCTCTTCAGGACTGCTCCCAACCCATTCCCCACCCAGCCTGGATTTGTGCCTGGGATTGCCCTGACCTAGGTGCAGCACCTTGCACTTGGCCTTGTTGAGCTTCATTAGGGTGGCACGAGCCCAGCTCTCAGTCCTGCCCAGGTCCCTCTGGACAGATCCCAGGGGAAGGGGTTCTTTCATGTCAACAGTCACAACAAAACCCCAAAAGATCCACCACTGCAGTGAACTCCCCACTGCAGGGCAGACAATCACTGTGGAGCACACCACATCTGGCTTGGTATCCAATCAGTGCAGGAGGGATTTACACCATGGGCCTCCATGTAAAGATACTTGAAAATACTTTTAAAGAAAGAAGATTACATTTGGGGAAATCTTCCACTGATCTTTGTCTTTATAAAACGTAGTTTTTAACAGAACTGGTTTCCCAAACCAAATAAAAAAAAAACAAACACACTTACATACCCAGTGCTATTCATGATTTCTATAATTTGCCTGCTGAATCCACATTTTGCCATCTAGAATGCAAAAAAAACCACCATATGTTAAAATATCTGCTGTATTTAATGCACAGAATTCCAAGTCCACAAGCTACACCAAAGCCATGACCAATATACCACTAGTGATGGCCTTGCTGGATGAGCAATGCTGCTAAATCCTCTCTTTTAACTCTTCTTTTATTCCCTGAGCTTTCAACAGTACTGATTGTGTCTTTATGTACTCTGCTGGAAGAAATGGGAGCATTAAGAACATTAAAACACTTCCCTCAGATGTGGTGTGGAAGGACATGAGGAGAATCTCCCTTCTAGGTCTGGCAACACTGTCTTGAAAACTGGGTATTTTCTGCACACCCAAAAAGCCAAAGCCAGAGGTATGAGGGGTACAAACACTTCACTGGTAAAACAGACATGATTTATCTGAGACAAGGGCTACCCTTTACTCACCATTCTATGGTCACCTGATAAGCAGGCTGCAAGTCCAGCAGCTCCCAACTGCCATTAAAACTGACAGTATCTACTGCAAGCTCCTCGTGTTCACAGCATAAGGACAAAGAACACATTTTTTTAGGCACTGGATAGTTAATCCAGACCAACCCTTAGTGGTGACTCCACCTCAAGCAGAATCCAAACGTGTTAAACAACCTGCCCAAACTCTTAGAATCACAGAATTGTTTAGGTTGGAAGAGACCTTTAAGATCATCAAGTCCAACCATCAACCTGACTCTACCAAGTCCACTGTTCATCCAGGTCCCTCAGCACCACATCTGCACATCTTCTAAGCCCCCCAGGGATGGGGACTCCACCACTGCCCTGGACAACCCTTCTGGGGGGGAAATTGTTCCTAATGTCCAACCTAAAGCTCCCCTGGGGCAACTTGAGGCTGTTTTATCTTCTCCAATCACTTCTTGTTTGGGAGCAGAGCCCGACCCCCCCCTGGCTCCAGGCTCCTGTCCGGAGCTGTGGAGAGCCACAAGGTCTCCCCTGAGCCTCCCTGCTCTCTGGTAGGCAAGACACATGTTTTAAAGGAGACAAAAGTGCCTCTGTGTAGAAGGCCTCAGCCCAACCAGCTCATCACCACTGTTTGGGTGGACCAGCATAACCCCCAGGGGGTAAGAAACAGCCTCCAGCACTCTTAAAACTCTTGTTTTAGAGAAGGCTGAGGGAAGAAAAGGGAAAATGAAGCAGAAGGACAAGCACAGGAGTGAGCTCAGCCCCCTGCCTCTGCCTCCCTCTGGATAAATCCTGAATAAAGGTGTGACACAGAGCCCCTAACCACAGCTACAGTCTGGGGCACAGCACCCCAGTGTGGGGGGTGAGCTCAGTGCCCTTCAGGCCATTTGGCCAGGAAGGATTCCAGTGCCCTGCTGATGCCAAGGGAATCATCTGTCCCCTGGCTGCTCTGAGCATGCCACACACAGCCTGACCTCTGGGTTTAGTCAGGAGTGAATTGAATCCTCACTGTCAGCACATCTGTCTTCAGTCACTATCTTTATTTTGGAGAGCAGGACAATTAAATGGAGCTTAAAGACACCAGGCAGAGACCACCCCATGCCTGTGAGAAAGACTGGATCTTTTATGGACTGGTTGTTATACTTCAGCCTTAAAAACATCCAGCAGCTTTTGTAAATGCAGGTATGAAAGCACACCAGAGTCACAGACACTAAGGACAGGACACCCAGTCCAGTCAGGTCAAGATGGAGAAGTTTCAACAAACACGTGTCCAGAGCTTAAAGTTTTTGGGCCACACTCACAGTGTGAGTCTCAAGCAGGCTAAGATCAGGGGCAGGCTCTAAGAAAATCAGAAGAAAATCCATTCTCTGCCAAACCAATCCATAATTAAGACTGAGAGGACACGTGCAGCTCTTCTGCTCACTCCTGAATTGCAGATTGACTGACAGATGTCACTGCAGGGCTGCAAATTCCCCCAGTTTCCTTCAATACTTTAAGACAGCTCTCTGTATTTTAGCAATATATATCCCTCAGGTAAAACAGGGACTGCTCTTCTATGGCTTACAGAAGCACCAAATAAAAAGACAAATAACTCACTTCCCAGCACTGTTAATTTTCATTAAGAAAAGCAGGGAAAAAAAGCTGATTGTCTTAAAAACAGATCATATTCTGCAACACAATCTTACCTGTTTGCTTCCCTTCATAAAAAGCATCACAGGAGCTTTGTTTATCAAGCTTTTAAGCCTGCAGGAAAAAGACAGACAGAAAACAGGCTGGTTATTACCCAAAGCTTTGCTTCAACAGGAAGGTCAAATGCAAAAGTGGAGAGACAGCAACTTACAGCTTCCCCAAATGCAATTAAAAGGATTATTATAAGCAACTCTGTTCATTTACATGGCTTACAGTAAGCCTAGAGAATGAATCTGAACCATCCTGTAACTTTTAGAGCAGTAATTTACTTTCCTGGATTGGTCTGTAAGTATCAAGCAGCAGCAAGTTTAAGCAGAAACATCATTTTAGGATGTTTTAAACACAATCTATACTTAGTAATATCCATCTTTTGCCCATTGTTTTTCAAACATTGAGTAAAGGAGCATAATTCAGCATCACATAGATTCTGTGACTGATATTCCTTCATTTTATTGTGTCTTAATGTGTTTGAGTAACTACCTGGGAAGAGGAGTTTGGGGTTTTTTTTATGAGTGATTGAGTGGAGTTTGAAAGAGATACCAGCTGCTAGGAGGAAAGACTCATCTGTGTTATGGCCAAAAAACTTCCCAATTGTCACCAGAAAACTCTGACCTCAGCTACACATCAAAGCAACAAGCACCTACTGAAAAGTGAAGAACAAATTAGGCAGCAAGAAGCTACTTGTGACTCATCTGGTGAAGTTTTTTACCACCCAGTTTTCCTTCAGGCCAATTCTACATCAAAAATTGATAAAAATTGATGAAAACTTCACACATCTGCTCCAAAAGTGCTGCTGTTGCTGCTCCTGGGGGACATATTTAGCTGCAGTAACAATCTGACTCTATTAAAACACATTAGCTAAGGCAGCAGGCATTTCCCATCACCTTCTTCCCAAAAACAGATTAAGCAGAGAAAAAACTGATGTATAAATTCAATGAAGTTGCAGATTACACAAGTTTGCAAAGAGGAAGGAAGAGATTGAAGGAAGCTTTCTAAAATAAGTTTTTAAAAGGCCATACAGAGATCACCTCACCCTTACCTATAATTTCATCTCCAACTACAGAAAGCAGCAGTTGGGGTTTGTGGCCTTGGTCAAAGCTACTTGTGTTTTAAAGATTATTTTCTTAGTTATCTGTAAAGGATAGTTGGGGATGTTGGATGGGAATCTGTGGATGCTCCATCTCTGGAGGTGTTCAAGGCCAGGTTGGATGGGGCTTGGAGCAACCTGCTCTAGTGGGAGGTGTCCCTGCCCATGGCAGGGGGTTGGAACTGGGTGATCTTTAAGGTCCCTTCCAACCCAAAGCATTCCATGATTATGAAATTTGGAATGGATAAGGAATCACATTATCCTGTGATAAACTTCTAAAGGAGAGGCAGGTGCTGCTCACTGTACAGAAAACACCACCCTGACCAAGTGCAGGAGTTCTGGAATTAAAGACAACCTTGATGCACTTTAAAATCAAAGAACAGGCATTTCTAGAGGGGGGTTCCCCCTACATAAACAAACAGAGGGAACCTCAAAACCAGCCACCCTTCGCTCATCCCACCTGTCCTCCAGCTTCTGTGCCTTGGGGCAGATCGTGTCCAGCTCTCCAGACGCCTCCAGCTCCTAGGGAGACAGGGGAGGAGAAACATCAGATGGAAACAAAGCAAGGAAAAGAGGCTTCTGAGAAGATGATGAGGAATCTCTCCATTTCTCACCTTGACAATGTCAAGCCCACCTATGAGCTCCCCAGCCACATAGAGCTGGGGGTAGGTTGGCCAGTTAGAGTAAGTCTTCAGGCCCTGCCGAACCTCTTCGTCCGAGAACACGTCGAAACTGCTGAATGAGATGTTGTGTTTGTTCAGGATCTCCACCAGCTGCCTGCTGAAACCTGCCAGGCACAACAGGAGCTGCAGGTCATGTCATGCACAGCCCTCCCATGTCCCTGCTCCTCCCCATTCACTTCAAAGCAGTCAATTCTTGTGGGTAGCCAGCTCAGAACAGCTCGAGAGTGTTATTGCTTTAGCAATGTCTGCAAATGTTATAAAGAAAAGGGGCAAAAAAATCTGTTTATTATTGGGGTTACAAAAGCAAAGCATGAGGGCAGCTTGGCAAGGCTGGTGCTGCTCTAGTTAGAGAGTAAGTAACCTGTGTGTCAGTGTCTCTGCTGCTCCAGCTCCAACTCACAGCTCGAGGGCTGGGGTGCACAGATTTTACTCTGTCCTTTCCTCCTCCAGCTACTGCTGAGAAGAAAAGTTCCTCCCTTCTGTAACCAAGCAGAGTTTTCCTGAGAAAATTCCTCATGTTACTTGTAAAAAAGTTTTACACATGAAACTTTTAATATTCTAGAACTTAGGCTCTATAATCACCTAAATCTTCTTAACCTAAAGAGAAACCCACACTTTCAAACAATTCTCTTCCTACTTTATTTTACTCCACTCTTGCTCCACAAGCTATTTGCTGTGCTACAAAAACTACACTCATCAGGAAAAAGCAGGAAGGATGCTGCAAGATATTGAAAGATTCTGGAATTTTGCTTCCCCTGAACACAAAGGCTTTATCCTGAAGCATTTCAGCATCTGCCACTTGTGCTCAAGAGCAGCTGAGGGAGCTGGGGGTGCTGAGCCTGGAGCAAAGGAGGCTCAGGGGAGACCTTCTGGCTCTGCACAGCTCCTGACAGGAGCCTGGAGCCAGGGGGGGTCGGGCTCTGCTCCCAAGGGACAAGGGGCAGGACAAGAGGAAATGGCCTCAAGCTGCCTAAGGGGACATTTAGGTTGGACTTGAGGAACAATTTCTTGCCCTGGAGGGTTGCCCAGGGCTGTGCCAGGCTGCCCAGGGCAGTGGTGGAGTCCCCACCCCTGGAGGGGTTTCCAAGCCGTGGAGATGTGGGGTGAGGGACACGGGGCAGTGGGGACCTGGCAGGGCTGGGGGATGATTTGACTTGATGAATTAAAGGTCTTTTCCAGCCAAAATGATTCTATGATCATAACACACGTTATAACTCTGCCAACCCATCCTGCTTTAGATCCAAGTGCCCTTGCAATGCTACCAGTTCCCTCAAAGAACTCCAACAAATGCTCTGCAGACAAATGAAAACATCTATACAACTATTAAAAAAAAAAGAGACAGTGCTTAAAGGCTTTAATAAAGGAATAAAAAATAAAGAAGCTTTAAAATGGGAAAACAAAGTGCCATAGAAGAATAACCTTTGATTTCAGCTTGCAAGACCACCTATTAGTTTTTGAAATATGGATTTTTACTGCAGTTTTCCTGCTCTGCAGTTTATGGAGCTGTGAAGTAGCAGTGTTTATATGCATGGCATTGAAGCTGCTTCTCCTTCTACCACTGAAGTGTTGAGTTCATGTACAGCCTGAAGTGAAACAGAGATTCTGAAATCTTCTGCACGTCTGGGAGTTCATTAGCAAACAGCTAAAGGCTGATGGCTGATGGTTATTCCATCACCAATACATTAACTCACTGCTACTGGAAGGAACTGGGAGGGGGGAGAGAAAAAAAAAGCTTTATTCAGCTGTAGGCAATTACATGCAAAGTAGAAAGATTGATTGGTTGTGCTTCATTCTGAAGGGTTATAGTAGAGGCCTGGAAGTGTTTGCTCAGGGATAAAATGCCAGAACAGTTTTATTTTCATAGCCAAGATTTAGGCTGGATTTCTGAAGAAGCATCATCATACATGAGACATAAAGAACAACTAAACTGCTAAGAAAATGTTTCAAGCAGCTATCCAGACCCTCACTGCAGATTGTACAGCAAGAAAAGCTCCTGAAATAAATGAGGGTATTAATGAAGTAAACAAATCAACACTCCCCCAGCCCAGAAGAAGCCCCTGAAGCAGCACAGCAGACACAGCCAGGCACACAACTGGCAGTGAAGAGGCAGCCAAGGGCCCAGGGTCACTCCCACCACCCCTGGCTGCCTCCTCCACACAGCAAACTGCCAACTGCAAGGTCCCAAAATGGAGCAGGGCTCCCTCAACCTGCCAACTGCACCAAAGAATTGGGTGCAAGCTTGTTATCTTCCAAGCAAAAGAGGTGTCACCCCAGAACACGTTCACTGTTCAGCAGCAAGGCCTGAAGAAACATCTACTCTACCTAATTACAATATGCAAATTAACCTGTTATACTTTTAAGTTGCTTTTCATATTGAGTTTATGATGAAGTCACAGAACAGAACCATGGAATTCTTTTGGTTGGAAAAGACTTTTAAGCTCATCAGGTCCAACCACTAACCCAGCAGCACCAGGTCCAACCTGATGATTCTGTGATTCTCTGGATAACCCCAACTGTGCTTTTTTTGCACCCCAGAGGTACTCATAAAGACCAGGAGCTCATCAGAGCACTGCTCTGTTCCACACAGGTATTACAGAGGATGTATCAATGGATGCACTTCATGACTCTGCTTCAGAATAAGCCAAAATTTCCATTCCCACAAAATTACCCATGAATTCCCATGACAACAGGTCCTTCTCAAGCACCTACAGCCCTGCTGTTACACAGCACAAGCAGAGAATTATCTTCACATAAGCAGGTGGAACTCCATCAGCTCTTCAGGGGAGCAAAGACCCGTGCAGAACCTCCCCAAATCCCAGGCTGACAGCAGCAAACACCCATGCAGAACCTCCCCAAATCCCAGGCTGATCCCCAGCAGCAGGATGAGCTGAAAGCCCTGGAGTCTGGTGTTACTTTGGAAACTGCTTCTACTGCAGTGATTCCAGACCCTATCAATGCACTGAAAGGAAAGAGCAGCCTTGGAATGAGAAAGGAGAACAGCAGTGTGCAGAAACCAGCCCAGCAGAAGCCCAGCCAAGCATGGGAGGCCTTGGGACACCCAGGGTCCTGCCCTTCCCCTCAGATTTCTGCCACCCACCCACAGGAACATCTGAAAAGCACCCTGCAGATCTTTCCAGAGCAGCTGCAAGCACACGTAGGTGTGGAGGGCAGAGACAGAAGGAGTTGAACCCGAGCTGCTGGCAGAGCCCAGGGCAAGCTCTGCCAGGCTGAACGGGACCTCCAGCAGGTCCTTACCACAGCGAGGTTCTTTGGGAGAGCCCTTCATGAAGAGCATGCAGGGGGCAGCACTGATGAGCCGTTTCAGCCTCAGGCTGAGCTCCTCCTGGGGCCCAGCCCTGGGGGTGGCAGGGGTGGGGGTGCTGGACTCGTGGCGTTGCACCTTCCTGGTGAGCTCTGGGGCGTGGGCACCGTCCAGCCTGTCCACTTGCTGGGAGTTCTGAGGAAACCAAACCACAGGCCTGTGTCAGAGGGGTTGGATTTGGAATTTGTACTGTCATAAAAACAACACTAAAAGCACCATATAAAGTATAGATTTTCAGAGGCAGGGTGGATTAGTGTATTGATCTTTCAGGCTTTAGTTCCAAGGCTCGCGCCGTGCTGGTGGCTGGTCACTGTTAACACCAGCAAATTGGCTCCTAGAAGTGTTTAGTAAAGAAAATAGTCTGAATTTTATTATCACAGGCAAGCGTGACCCAAACACATTTGTCATTTCTACCAGAAGATGATTTTGGGGGTTTTTGCCACGCTGTAGAACTACTGCCAGACAAGGAAACGTTATTAGAAAATTTCTGACCTGATACAAGGTCCAACAACTAAAAGAAAAACTATGTAAGAAACCCAAAGCAACTCAGGAAGCTCTGAAATATTCCATGTGAAGTCTAAGAAGCATTTCTATCTATTTTTTTAGGTTCCACTGGATAGACTTAGGTCACATATGTAAGTGTTTCTGCACTGAGAGAGTTCTTGAGGTTCTGCTCTTGTGGAATTAGTAACAAAAAAAAAGTGTATGTATTGAGAGTCTCTTAAATCCATTTTTTTGTTACCTTAAAGAATAAGAAGGTTGGAACAGAACTGATTCCATATTTTTCAGATACTTCAGGCACAGCTTCAGCTTCCAGCTGAAAAAAAAAAACACAAAAAAGAGAAACCCATTATTTCCATAATCTTCCTTAAAAGTTTGTCTGGGGAGGTCAGTGCTGTCTGGAATGTTCTCCCAGGCATTTTCTACCTTCAGAAAGGATTTGATGCAGAAGTTAGTGCCACATTTGCATGTCAATGAGGCTGGCTGGGCTGGCCTGTCACCCACCCAGCCACCAGGGTGTCAGAACAGGTTCAGGGGGTTTTATTTTGTTGCACATTTCAAAAGACGCCCGGAGGCTGCGAATAAAATTTTTTTGGTGCACTAGTGACCTAGTAAATTTTCAATCATATGCAGCTACTGCTATATTGAAATCCATAAATCACTGACCCCAGTTATGTCATGATTACAGTGCTTATTTTCTGCCCACAGCAATTCTTGCTGTTTGCTCTATTGACTAATTTCAAGGGGCAGTACATCACCACTGACATTTGCAGCCTCCTGCAAATTATGAAGGAGGAAGGAGTGTTTCTTCAATAAGCTATTGATGTCCACTAAATCTTGGTTTTTAACTCCTGCAAGGCCACTGAGCACTGAGGGGCAAGTCTGTTGAGTTCACTGGTTCTAATTTTACTCAGCATTCAGGTGCACACCTTGAAATGACACAGTGAAGTGATTTGCCAAGGAAACAGATCTCTTCATTAACTCAAATTTGTGATTTTGTGTGCACAGGCTAAGAGCTGACTCGAGTGCCAGAGGATCCATTAGGAGGTGGGTTAAGACACCAGCTCTGTGATAACTGCAGAGTTCATGGCTAAGAAAGTGGCAATACATCTAAATGTTGTGATTTTCTGTGCACAGGCTAAGAGCTGACTCAAGTGCCAGAGGATCCATTAAGACACCAGCTCTGTGATAACTGCAGAGTTCATGGCTAAGAAAGTGGCAATACATCTAAATGTTTCAAACAGAAACCTGCAATCCAGTGGAGAGAAGAAAAAGCTTTTCAAATCCTTACTCCACCAACCACAGGGTGACATTCCAGGCAGAAGCAAGGACAGAACTACTCCTCAGTTTGCTCCCTGCTCTTCCTTGCACATCTTAGAAAATCCTGGGATTGTTCTCACTGTGAACTGAAATGCAGTGAGCCTCTGAGTGTTTCAGTATCAGAGCATGGTTTGATTTGCTCCAGCTACAGGCTCTTCATGAATTCACTCAATACAGCAGCAACCCAGCAGGAGAAGTCAAAAAGTCAGAGCTGAAGCTTCACCTCTGTTCCTGTAAATCAAAGCTCCAGCAGGAGCAGCTGAGGCACCAAAGCTATAAACTGAGAAGTGTAAATAGGTTCCAAAATGATTAAACAACTTGCAGCTATAATATTCATTTTCTTTTCCAGTAAAGTTTCTTACTCACTTGGACACTTATGTTGCACACTGGTGGGGTTCACACATACAGAATACATTTATTCTCTTATTTTAGTAACTTGCTCTTATTGGTACAACTTGCCAAAAAAAAAACCCCAAGTACACCAGTAATACTGGGGGGGGAGGAAGTGCCATTAGTTTAGTTTTGTAACATTTGATCACTTTGGAACCTTGTTATTAAAAATTAAATTACAGCTGAATAATAAAGGTTATAAATAAATAATACCTGGATTTGAATAATAAAGAGGCAACAGAGGTTTGGAACATTCTTGGGCCTACTAAAAGCTATAGAAACTCCATCTAAATTTAAGCATCTTGAATTTTGGAAATGTTGAAGATCAATCTTTTGAAGCTCTAGTAAAATAGTTCTCTCCTCCTGTTTTACAGGGAGAAATACCAGCTGAGAGAGGAATCATTAAAAACCCCCACAAAAGCTAAAGGCTGTAAGAAATCAGATTAAAACTCACACACACAGCCAGCTGCCCCATTGCCCCCTGCCCTCAGAACCCCTAAAGTGTCTCATTAACAGGAGAAAGTTGGTTTAAAACAAACACTGTGTTGATGAACTGCTTTCATTTTTCCCCTCTATGCTGGTTTTCTTGCCAGGATGTGCAAATCTCCCCAAAAATAAAGCACCTGAATGTGTTTGTGCCACCCAGCAGCACACAACCATCACCTCAGAGTGACCACGTCACACAGATCCCAATTTACTTTTTTAAACTTCATCAAGGTTACTCAATGAAGGCAGAGAAGGACAACAAAGCTGGGGAAGGGTCTAGAGGCCAAGTGTGGGGAGGAGCAGCTGAGGG